GAATGGAATGGAGTGATGTGACTGGAGCCCTGAACAGAAACATTTCACACTGAGTGACTCCCTGATAGGAAAATATATGTAAGTCCCTGTTGCTCCAGAAGATTACACCACCACAGTGGTTGAAAATGTAAATGGGCTTCCTCTTATTGTATTGCAATGGGCCTCTTAGAGTAACCCAAAGCAGCATTCTGGAGGGGGGGGATGCAATTCCTAAAAAGCAATATATTATGATTAGAGATTATTTTTCCTTGTCTCATCCTAGATGCAATGTTCATCTGTTGGGAGTGGATAAAGACGAGATTTCTAAATGCAGCATATGTCTAAAAAAATCACAAGTACTTCCACTTTTGCCAATGGAGAACAGCATATTAAAGCTATGCATCTAAACTGTTGTATTCAAATGCTTTAGGGTTTAGGATCTGCTACAACAATAGAGTTTTGTCTGAGCTGCTGTTTACAAAAATGTGGTGTTGTTTTTTTAAACATCCCTCCTTTTCTGTCTTTGACAAATCCTGTGAAGACTTCATCATCTAAAGGGACAAGTGTGAGCACTTATTTCTGCTACTAATAGCTAGTGGACAGTTTAGCACAATTTTATTTATTCAATGTAAGGTGTAGCAGCAGATTATCTAGACCAGGAATCTCCAAACTACAGTCCATGGGCCACATATGGCCTGCCTTGCTTTTTTATTCAGATTGGGGAACACCACAGGTTCAGGTCTGTTCCCTTCAGCCTGTGGGTGCATGTGTACGTGGCCCTCACATTGAAAAGTTTGGAGACCCCCTGATCTAGACAGACAGTAGAATAGCAAAAGGCCTCCCAACAGCTGAAGCACCACAATCAGGCTTGTGATGAATAATCTTTGGTTTACTAAACTAAGAACCTTAAAAATGGGTGCTAAATGTATTGCACACTGAACTTAAACTCATGCATTTCACTTGCAGGGCAAAAGAGATGCCTTTGTGGCATTTCCCTGGTTTGCATGAGTGCATGTATGCTTAGGTTCACAAAGGGCAAAGTTACTGGTTTTGACCATATATCTTCACTGTAATGTATGAGGAAGTTATCATGATCCATGGAAGTTCACATTAAAATAGAGTAGTTAGCCTTTCAGGTATCACAATATTTCTGTCATCTCTCCCCCCCCCCCTTTTTTGATCTGATACGGTTTGTGCAGAGACATTTTGTGCAAAATACACAAGGTGTAAGGGAAAATGCACTCATTTTGGAGGCAAGAAATCTCACAGGGCCAGAGATTTTCTCAGAGAGACATCTCATGTTGAGACAGCTGAAATCGATAAACACAAGGTATTTAGCAAGTATTCTTCACATTGTTGCACACACCACATACCTTTTGCCAGGTTTTACTGCCTGCAGCTTAATTTCCTCAATAGAGGCAAGGATATCCATATCCTGTCTCTGGTTGTCTGATAATAGGAAGGGACTTCTCCACTGATGTTACTGTAGCTGGGCTGATTGTATCCTACTATGGCCTACCATTGTTATCCATGATTGGAAAAATACTGGATTACCCCCAGGGCCTTCCAAAACTATGTTTCTCCACAGTAATAGTAGTTTCCCTGCCCAGGAAGGAAATTTCCTATACCAAGATGAAAAGATTGGGTCTGAGTTTTCTATATGTGACAGTGCCTAATCTGATTAGCTGCCTAGCACTGTGATTGCATGGGCGTTTCGCTATTTTCCATGCCATCCACCTGCCCACAAAGCTGCCAACAGGTGGGCATTGTGATGAGATGGGAATTGTTGTGACTCTTTGGGCATTTCTTATTTAGTGCAAAATGTCTACCACACATTTTATCTGGCATAGTGGAAGAGGAGCTCACAACAGCTGCTTCTCTGCTGATCCCAGCTGATAACAGCTTTAGGGCTCATCTAGATGGCTCAATTGCAGCGAGCTAGAGCAGGCTAAATACTAAAGTTTGCACAGAGGTCTCGTATGCCATTTGGTATGATCCACATGGCATATGCACCTCAAGCAACCCTATTTGGCCTATAAAAAACCCTCACTCCTTACTCTCTCATTTCTCTTTCCCCTTTGTGAAAGGAAGCATTGAATTTTTAATTTTTTTTCCTAAAATGTACAATAAATCAGTGCTTAATAGGCTTTTAAAAAGAACAATTTTGGTTCATCCCTGTGTTCCTCCATGGAGGAGCAGAGCAAACTTTCCCAATATCATTAAGCAGCTAAGCTTATGATATTGGAAAATTGAAATCGGATGGGAAATTTAAAGCCGCAAACTCTGCTTTTGTCCAATCCCAGCTATTTCATGTTCTGGAAACTAACCAAAATTGAGTGATTCTACCTGCACATGAAAAAAGAGGTAGCACCTGACAGGAGCTAAAAAGTTATAGGGATGAATCTTCTGAGAATAGGCTAGTTCATGCTGGCACTTATGTTGTCTGGTCACTGGCAAAAACTAGTCCGTTACCACAGTAGACGAAACAGTGGGACAATTGTCCATTAGTCACACTGATACAGAGGCATGCAGTATAAAGTGTATGCTATTGGAAAGGCATCCTGTGTTTGTCATCTAATGAACTGTACTGTTTATAAAAAAATTGTTATGCAGATTACATAGTGTAATGATGGGAAGAAGTGTTACATCCCAATACCAAGGCTATACACAAAAATGCACTCTTGCCTTTGCTATGTGTTTGAAAACTGGTATTTCCATCACTCAACATTACAACACTTGTTGCAATGAAAATAGAATCAATGACTTCTGCAGGCAGCTTTCAGCCACCTCACTCTCAAAGTTCTCCTTTTCAGCTCTGGCTTCATACTCCACGTGTGAATGGACTGATGCACCCATGTCGAAGGAGGTGCTTCCTTATGACAAAGGAGTCTCCTGCAGATCTTAATTAAAGGATATGATCTTTCAAAACAGAACAGATGTGTTTGTGATCATGTGTGTGGCTGACTCCATTCTGATCTCTCAGTCAGAAGGAAGACAGGAAGCCCTGGAAGCTTTAGTCAGTGGCTATGCTCATGTGTCATAATAAGTGAGGATTCCTGGGGAAGCCTGGCATACTGTTCCTGACCAGTGTGTGTACATGCTGCTGATTGCTCTTGCTTCAAATAACAGTGGTTAAACAAGTACAGCCCTTGTCCCATGTTTGCTTATCATGATGTCTGAATCCAATACTCTGGTTTGTTTTCCCATTCCAACAAGCCAAAGAAACAACCCAACAACACACTCTGGGTTATTCCTCCGGCTTCTGGGAGAGAGAAAAAGATAAACCTAAAGTAGCAGGCCTTCAACAGAGAAAGAAAAGGGGAAAAAAGCCCTGAACAAATCTCAAAATGTCAAAGTAAATGTGCTTTACCATATTAAGCTAGCACATTTCAGCTCTCCGTAAACTCTGGGACCTTACTCAGGGGAATTTTAAAAGCCTGACAAGATCTCTATCACAGTTGGAAGGACAAATGACTGAGGAATAATTTCTTGATTATTTCAAACTCCGACAGTTTGTTTTCCCTATTTTTTTGCTTTTGCTTATGAAGAAACAAGTCAAGGTATCAAATTAAAACATTCTAATAAGCAAACCATGAATGAATGATCCATAGTTCATTTGGCCAGTGAAAGTCCCAAAGCAGCAACCAAACCAAATGTCCTCAGTGAAATGAAACATGTACAGACCAGTATTACTGGTGGGCACATTTGCCCCAACCTGCTGTATAAGATGCTTTGGTTATATATATTAAGAGTCACATATAGTAGCGTACAAATAATAAAAATCCTAATAGGCAGCTGTTACCTGCCCATGTAATGCCTACCTACACAGCAGCTCATACTGTGAAATATACTACAACACAGGCTGGATGTGTTTTTGACATCAAATAACCTAATAATATTAGAACAAAATCAATAGGCCTTGGCTTCTCTACAGTAAGTAACTGTTTTTCAAACACTGTTGTGAATTACCATCCTGAACAAGCCATGTTTCCTCCGCAAAATCACAATTAATGTCCTTCAGTGTGGGTGTTTGCAAAAACTTTCCAGAAATTATTGATTTGTTGATATATAATGAGCTCCTCTGCAAGACATGCTCCATCTGGAGAAGATGCAGGTCTGTATGCCTGGCTGAGCCAAGTTTAAACTTTTTGGAAGAACAGTTTCATAATTTGGGGTACTTTTAAATCCATCCTTGCCTCAGGAAACGCAGATGGCCTTGGTGAAGCAGAGCACCTTTGATAAACTTTAGAGATACACCACGTTTGGCCCTACCTGGGGCAGAGAAAGCCTGACTATAATTATACCCAAAGTGGTAACTTCTTATTAGGACTACTGCAGTGTATAATATAGACCGATGCCTTGAAAATGTTTCAGATGCTTCAGAGGGTTGAAAATAGGACAATGGGACTGTCCAGGACCTGTTATCACAGTTATATTATGAAAATGTTTCCAATTCATTTTCAGACTAAGGTCATTGGCAATACTGACCTTTAAAACCCTAAAGATTATTTGAAAGTTTGCATTTTCCCATATACAGTCCTGGGTCCCAACATTATTATCAAAAGCCTTCCTTCCAGTGCTCCTGCCATATGAGGCTAAGGAGGTGGCTGTTAAGGAGGGGATATTTTCAATGCTGACAGTCCAGTTATAGAATATTCTCTCTCAGTTGGTGTCTACTGTGTTTGCAGTACCATGTGAAGATTTTAAAAATTCTACTTTCACTTTGGTTTAATTTTGTAGTTGCTGCAGTTACAAATTTGCATGGTGTGTTTCATATTTCATGGATTTTCCTCTGTTTCATAAACTACCTTTGAAGTATGGATGTAGTTGAAATACATAATCAGAATTGAAAGCCACCGATTTACATTTCTGGTGTGATATATTCTGCCATTACATTGAGTAATTAAAGATTCTTGCACCGCGTTAGTTCGCTCATTTCCCCTTAACTCCATTTCTCCTTTTGTAAGGTTTTATTTAGGAACATGTGATGCCTGTTGTTTCTAGTTTTTTTGTACACTTACCCGTAAGACCAGCAGCTTCAGCAGACAAGAAGGCACTCCATGACAAAAGGAAAAACAGGCCAGTTTCCAACATGGGGAACTCACACAGCTTGGTAAACTTTGTCAAGTGCTAAATACAAATGCTAAGGAAAAGAAATATGAACACTTCCAGGTATCTAAACTGATCTTGCAACAATATTTTATACATTTATGAGAAGGTTAAAAAAAAAACTCCCACAAATCCAAAATAATGGACATAAGGACCCCACAGAAATTTGGTAAAAGTCAAGTGAAAATGATGTGATTCCAAACTCTGCCTCCCCACCTTGAAGCCAACAGATTGGTGAAAACACAAGGGCTATAATAAAGGTGATTTAGCCCAATGACTTTGAGCTGTGAGCCTCTAGATGTTGTTGGATTATAATTTCCACAATCCTTTATCACTAGGTGTGGTGAGTAAAAAGATCAACACATCTGGAGACATAAAACTGGGAATTGTTGATTTCTGATTTCTCTATTTATATGACCATTTCAGATGGAAACACAGAGAAAAAAAAGATACAGTGAGAAAGTAGAGATATAAACATTTGTGCTTTTGAATGATGACTCTTAGGATTCCCCAGATTCTGAGCCATCTGGCTATGCTACTTGAGGAATTCTATGAGTTGCAAACCACAAGCACACATCTGTACAGCTCTAAAATATGCCATGAGTTCCTCCCACTTATCCTGCACTACTGATATTTCCTGAGTTTTGTGTGGTAGAGGCTTTCTGCAGTGCCTCCTAAACTACTGAAAAGTAACAACAGATTACCTAATAACCCAGTAATAGTAAACTGTAAACCAGTTTATTCTTGAAGGCTTTAAACCAGTTGTTCACCCAACAAGGTGTTGAACAGACTTTGACAAGTTCATTTTCTTCCCCAGAGAATGTGCCAAATTCCCCTTTGTAGGGTAGCATTTAGCTTGTGTTTACTTGCACACTGTGTGTATATTCTCTTTTAAGTCTTGGAGAGGGGGATATATTAAAGTTGGGAACAAGTTGGGAGGATGAATTATTTCTGTTCTGGACAGGTTTATGTTTTTGCCCAGCTACAGAAAACAATCATCATCATGCATCATCAGGTCAATTCTGACTTACGACGACCCTTTTCAAGGTTTTTTAGGAAGAGAGTATTCAGAAATGGTTTACCATTCCCTTCTTCTGGGAGCATCCTGGGACTATATGGCTTACCCAAGACCACACAGACTGGTTCTTCTGAGATGCACAGTGGGAAACTGAACTCCCAACTGTTTGCACCAGATATCTTACAGCTAGGTTAATTTAACTGTATGGAATGAATATTTAGCATGAAAATTCCTGGCCTTACTTAGAACTATTTGTGTTCTGAAACAGCTGAATAAATCACTATGATCATGTGGCAAAATTTAGCTTTAATTTTGTTGCATTGGTTCAGTTCAGATAGTATCTAATTCTATTTCCATTTCTCTTTGCTGTTTTCAGGTCACGGAAATGCAGCTGTGACAAAGTCAAATGGCAAACAAGACGATCAAGTCAGAATTAGCTCAAGGATTATATTATTTCAGGCTCAGAGGAAGGTCATCGCTAGCTTGGTGCAGCTTATTTAGCATTAATTTAAGGAAGGGAAAATGGAAATATTAAGATCTGTTCTAATAAAGCAACAAAAAAGATTAAAGTTTAGAGATAATGCTTGCAGAGTTAAAATCCCCACCAACGTAGCTGCACACAAGCAGTTACAAGATTGATTGCACAACCACTTGCATGACTACTTTGTACAAGAGCTTGCACAACGTTGTATTTGATGTCACCATTATGTTAACTGAAAATGCACAAGCACTAATCCCTGGATTTTGCATGAGCAGCATAATGTTATTGAATACAGTCTTTTGTCTGAACCCTTTTGTTTCCCTGTTCTAAAACACCATTTGTTCAGGGTGATTGTGGGGATACTAAGCCTGGCACCCCTTCCCTCTGGGTGCTCTTATGCTCTCTGTTTCAATATCCCAGTTAACTTCTGGAGGCAAGCAATCTGCAGCCTTAGGACTGACAGTGGTCTTAGGCTTAATTTCATGCAGCTCTCAACCTTATATAATCGCTTCCTCCATGGGTATTAAGTTCAGGCTTCCAATACAAGTGAACTGTTCTTCCCACACCAGTCTTCTGGAAATGCATAGAGAGAAAAGGGTGTGGAAATAGAGAAACAGTAGAATGGGTGACTTCCTCCACCTTTGGCTCAGACTTAATCTGATTTGGCGCTGTCCACTGCCAGGCTTTGTGGCCAAAATAGATTTCCCACAAGAGAATGTGGCCTTCAACAGAAATAAAGCTCTCTAGCTCAGGTCAGTAGCTTTGGAAACAGAGAAAGAGATGACTGAAATGGGTCTGGAAAGCAAATCCAATGAGGAATACTGAGGGAGTTGCATATGTTTATCCTGGAGAAAACTGAGAGATGATACCTATTTTCAAATATTTGGAAAGCTCTCATATGGAACAAGCCTTATTTCTGCTGCCGCAGAGTATAGGGCCTGGACCAATGGATTCAAATTACAATAAAGGAGATTGTGACTAAACATTACGAAGAAATTCCTGGCAGTAACAGCTGTTAAAAAATGGAACAGATTTCCTTGGAAGCTGGTAGATTCTCCTTTGTTGGAGGCTTTTAAATAGACGCTTCATGGCCATCTGTCAGGGATGCTTTAGCTGTGGTTTTCTTGCATTGGCAGAAGTTAGCCAAAGGACCAAATTGGGTCTCTCCCAATTCTACTATTAAATGATTCTTTGGCTGTGACTTATGTGCTTCTTTCCTTCCTGCTCCATTTGACTCCCAGAAACTCACCATGGTTGTGTGTGGAGACATCATGTCCCCATCAGATAGCCTTCTCATGAGGTGAGGACAGCAGGCTGGACTGCTCACTCTCAATACAAAAATTGGTGGAGTTTCAAACAGTTCTTGCTTTGTTTGTGAATGTACTGGAGCTGCTGTTCATATCTGATGAGGAAGGGGCTTTGCTGCTTGTTTCTATAATACTGTTTGGCACATAGATTTTAAAATGAAGACATTTTTATAAATATTTGGTCTGAGATGGGCAGGACAATATTCAGCAGAAAAAAATGTACAAGGTTCTAAGAAATGATATATGCAACAGTCTTCCATAAGTCTTCCACTTTAAGTTATATCTTCAGTATGGCATGTGAAAAAGTTTTCCCAAAGAGCCACAGATTTAGTTTCTTTATTAATTTGTAAAATATTCAACCACTTTACTGCTTCCCTAAGACAAAATGAATTGTTCTGTAAAGATGTGCTTGTATGTTACTCTGAGGAGAAAACGTGAATTCCCAAAAGAGAAACCCTGGGGAAAATACTGCCCCCCTTTTTTGGTACTGACAGGTAATATCACTTTACCCAGAAATCAGAAAAATGTGGGAGTTTTTTTTTAAATGTCAGACAAGATTCTGTTTACTTCTTAACACCTCTATTAATGCTTAATAGAGATTTGAAATAGTAAGCAAAACCTAAGAGAGGTTTTTTGGGTCCTGATTGCTCATATCAAATTCTACACACATTTTAGAAAATAAACAATATCTATTTGTGACAATTTAACTATATACATATCCAACAAACACACCAACAGCATTCTTTACAAGGTACCGAGTGTGTGTGGGAATACGATTAGCAAACACTCACCACCAAACTAGAAGAAGGTTACAGAAGATTGTTTCCACTGGACCTTTTTGTGTGTTGTTGTTCACTGGCAGCATTAAGAGATTTACAATCTCTGCATTTAAGTCACAAGATCCAGTGCCAAGGCAAAACTGTGTGTGTGTAAAATGATGGGGTTCAGATCTTAACCAGATCTTAACCAGAAATAATCCTCAAGTGAAATAGTTGCACAGCTGTACTCAGTTTTGCAATGCCTCATTTTCCAAACATACTGACTTTGAGGTGTTTGATAACAATCAACAAAGGATATCAAAGCAGCGACAACTGCATAGGCAGACCCCATAGCAAATGATCCAGCAAAGATCCCAAGAAAATTCCCCACGGACTGGAAGAAGGCAGCAGCATCAAAAGCATTGGGATTCTCTTTGGGACTGTAAATTGATATCGAACTGGAAAGGAGACAAAAGAGGAGAGAGGAATAACAAATTCAATCACACGGCATGGAGACTGAAATCAAGAGCTTAAGAATGTACTTTAGTAAGAACTAGCAATTGCTCCTCAGGGCTCCTGGCAGATTGGAAAGTCATAGGGAAGATGAAATAAGAGTTTGTTTTTTAAGGCAATATCATGTGCTGTTGTCGTTTCCTGTCAGTCAGTAAACATTTTTTGCACTCCAAGTGTCATAAAGAGTATTATTTCCAAGCCAACTAGACATTAAACATGGTAGGTATGTAAGGAATCTGCAGGGAAATAGATAACTTTGAATTATTTATTGGCCATATGTCTTCAGCCCAGTTATACATTCACAAATATTCCTGATAAAAAGGGGCACTTTTATGGGTTGCTCACAAATGGGCAACACAAATCATGGTATGTACAAAATCTGTGGAAGCGATCTTGTCATAAAGCATTATAGTTGTTCCATTCACTAGCTTCACCCTTCATAAACAGAATTGTGGGCATGTCAACAGCCTCACAATATGAAGCCCCCGGGAAACACAAATCAAACATTTCCTTGTGGAAAAGAAAACTGATGCCTCCACCAGAGGTCTTCTTTTATATCCAAGTCTTTTGCGCTTGACATCAAGATTATATTCTTGTGGGAAATTAGTGGGAAGATCATCTACTTAAAACATTTTTGAGGGCATCAAACTTCCTGCTCACCAGCAGAGACTCGATACTCAGAATGCTAATAATACTGCCAAGTCGACATGCGTTGCTTTTTGCTATAACATTAAATATAAAGGATATGCAGTAGCCTCAAGGATCCCAAATACTAATTAAGAAACATTTCAGATTTCTATGGCTCTTTTACTTTCAACACTTCAAGTTTTCTCTACTAGCTGTCAAAGAGCATTTGTCACAGGATTCTCAAAAGCAGTGTGTATTGCTGGAAAATGCCTGGTGTCTTAAGCATTAAACTTTCAGAATTATTTTGAGCTGATATTAATATTTTACACCTATGAATATTAAGAATGTGCCAGGCTGACAAACCTATGTACTCTCATCAGCAACTAACCATGAGAGATGTGGCATTGGTTTATGAGTCACTTAGAAAAAAGCCTACTCGTTAAGGTGTCTAACAACATAATTTTATCTGTGTTTATTCAGAAGTAAGTCACACTGTGTTCTCTAGGGCTTACTTCCAGGTATGTGCATAGCCCAGATTCATAAGTTTCAAAGTCATTAAGACCTAGTTTAAGCATAATCACGAATGTGGATATGATGAAATCTTACTGCTCTGTGCTCAGTCCATTAATAACATCTGAAGTTGTATGTTACATGGGTTATGTGATTCATGAACATATTTTCCAGCTGAGCATCAGAAGCTCTGAAAAATGGTAACACTGGTGCACAAAATACCCAGTGACCCATATGATGGGAGAGCTTCAGGAATAGAGCAGCATGTTCACTAAGCACAGGAAAACAACATTTTAATTGGGCCTAATATGTTAGTGACTACAATTTTAGTCATTCTGTACTATAGTCTCACAGGAGCTTACAACAGATCTCTAAATATTAATAGAAGATTTCTCTAGACAATACAAGAATGGACTGTGAAGGTACTTAGAGAGACTTTTAATGACATATGTAGCATGCAGAATTATGAGGCAGATTCAGATCTTATCCTCATATGGAAGCCATTGCAAAATATGTCCGCGTGGCAGAAGCCTTCACAGGCACCAAAACAGTTGGAATCCACTTACTACAGAGAAGGTATCAATGGTATACTTGGCTCTCCAAATTGTTGTAAGCAGCTGCCAGAAATATGCAATGCTGGTTAAAAAAAATCTTTCTACCCAATAAAGACCATCTATGTAATAAGCCAATTTCAGAAGCTATAGCTTTTATGTTGGGTGGCACAGCAGAGAAAAATGTTTCCCAACAGCTCTTGCTTGGAGGCGGGGGAGCGACTTTACAATTTATCCCATTTTGTTCTCCTGCTGGGACATTCAAGTTTCATCTATTTTGTGGTCATTACACGACATACGAGTAATTGTGAACCATCCTAGCTGTTTTCCTCCCCCACTGGATGTTTTTGATTCAGTGGCATGAGCTACTGTTTTTTTCTCGAGTGACTTGGAAAACACTGTTTCACTTTGGCTTCTGGCACGTGTGTTCACATCTACGTATTACTACCATCCTCCTCTGGTAGTGTACAGCAGAAACACCTCTCCTCTTCTGCTGGCTCTGTTCTGAATGTTATTTTATTTTATTTTTAAAGTATTTATCAGATGCAGTGTTCTGCCAGATAAATGCTATACCAGATAATATCAAATAGCTTCCCCCAAATGAGAGAAAGAGTAAAACGTGTGCTAAATCAGCCAAAATGCAGGGTGGGAAAAACCCCTTCCTCTTCTATTGACTCATTTCCTGTATTTAAAACACTTTATCAGGTACAACATGATGTCAGATTGGGTCGGATAATTCCAGAAAGCTTGCTCTAGCTCTAGTGCAAAGAACTTAATGTTCCCGCTATGAACACACAAACAGTGGACAGTTGTAAACTGAAGAAAGGGAGAGGGGAAGATGAAAGGACAGGATGGACTCTGATAACTACCTGTTCCTTTAAGAGTCAAATGGAATGTGTGAAAAACAAAAACAGTAAGGAAGCCATTGGCTGGGTAGAGGGTGCATGAGTCCATAGCTGATCTTCTGCCTTTTTTTTGTCTCTTGACCTCCTTCTACTCTATCACAGTTTCAGGAGCAGAAGGAGGACAAGAAATAATCCTTGATCATCGCTTTCCCCCTGAACCCATCTGGGGAGTGAAGGTGGATAGATAGGAGGAAATAGAAAAGGAGAATGGAGACAGGTTTGATCCCCACACCAAAAATCTGACTTAACTGAGAAATACAAAGGAATGAATATTCCATGAATCAGTAATTTCTCACAAATATTGCAATTTGTTGTTTTTTTATTCATCCCCATGTTTATTTACTGCCTTTTCCCATCTGAGGCAAATTGTACATCTTTGTCCCAACTCGACAGAAAACTCTAATACTGTAACACATGTTGGTAATCTCAAGGATCGACTACTGCAATCAATGATCTCTATGCGGGGCTGCCCTTTAAGGTGATTTGGAAGCTGCAACAAGTATAAATTGTGGCAGCCAGGCTGGTCACAGATACATCTGAATTTGACCATATTTCACCCATCCTGGCCCATCTGCACTGGCTGCCAGTATGCTTCCAGGCCAAATTCAAGGTACTTATGTTAACTTATAAAGCTCTTTACAGTTTAGGACCTCACTATTTGTCAGAGCATTTCTCCCTTAGGTCATCCTCCTGTCCCACCCACACCTCCCAATCCTTGATGCTGCAGGTGGCCACTCCAAAAGTGGCCTGAAGTGGTCAACCAGAGACCAGGCCTTCTCGGTAGTGGCTGCCCAGCTCTGGAACTCCCTCCCTGTGGAGGTGCGACTGGCATGTGACACATAAACATGTGAAAAACTGGCTTTTGACCGAGGCCTTTACAAACCTCACCCCTTTGTAATATTAATTTTGTACTGCGTTTATGCTGACCCATGGTTCACCAAATGGGTTTTTGGTTTTACATGCTCAGTTTTTGTTTTCAATTGTTTTATAGTATATTTTTGTTATTTTCCCGAAAGCTGCCCAGAGTAGTGCTTTGTCCACTAAATGGGTGCGGTACAAGTTTAAACAACATAGGCATCCTTCAGTCTCGAGAGACTATGGTAACATGCTCTGAACTGAGGAGTGTCCTCTCCAGAGCGTGAAGCCTGGGTAAAGTAATATGGAGGATAGGCTGTTACCCACGCAGCAAATCCCCCCTCTCCACGCTGCTGAAATGGTCCAATGGAAAGGCAAGAGCCAATACAGCTGGTTCCAGCAACATCGCAGGAGTTGGCAGAACGACACAAACCGCCTTCGGGACTCCAGCTCCAGAATGGACTGGCAATTTGGCTTTCAAATGAAGGCAGGCCTCTTAACCCCACTCACAATTAGAAGTAAAATTCCAGAAGAATTCCAAACTGGAAGTTTAAACAAACAAACAAATAAATTCTGATAATTATCACAAGTAGTAACCTTGTCAAACTTGAGTAGGGATCCAGCATCTATGGATGGGAAACGGGCAAGGAAAACAAAATAACCAACTGCCGAAGTGGGAAGCCAATTATGAAAAAAAAACTCTTATTGAAGTGTGAGTGTTTTTAGTCAAAGCAGAAGAACTGTTTCTGTGTAATCGTTTTTACATGGTTCAGTTTTCCTTGATTCTGTGACAAAATGAGAAACACTTAAATGAGTGGAAATCAAAAGAAAGCCACAACTCATTCATCTAAACTTTAGATTCTAAAGTGCCTTTTTGAATTTCTAAATACCTAAAAAGCAGTAAACACTAGTAATAGCTGTCATATCATGGAAACATCATTCAGATGGTAACACTGTAAATTGCTATCCTTGTTTAAGAAAGAAAGAAAATGCAGCCAATGTGAAACTGCATTAGTACATTGGTTGGCAATGCCAAGCACCACTGAAGTGCTTTCTATTCATTTTAGGGGAAGATATGTTGTTTGGTATTCGAACATACCGTTGGTACTGTTGATTTTTTTTCCTGTCAAGTCCATTTCAACTTATAGCGAACCTATGAATTAAAGCTTCCAAAAAGTCCTAATTAGATCATGCTTCATATTAGTCAGGGACGTGGTGGCACTGCAGGTTAAACCGCAGAAGCCTCTGTGCTTCAAGGTCAGAAGACCTGCAGTCGTAAGATCGAATCCACGCAATGGAGTGAGCCCCCGTCGCTTGTCCCAGCTCTGCGCTGGCCACGTGACCACAGAAGATTGTCTTCGGACAAACGCTAGCTCTATGGGTTGGAAATGGAGATGAGCACCACCCCCTAAAGTTGGACACGACTGGACAAATTGTCAAGGGGAACCTTTACTTTTACCTTTACCTCATAGTAGTCATGTGAAAATCTCTTGGTCT